TGGTTTACATTACTTAACAGGTCATCAAATCAATAGTATTGTCAAAAATTCGAACCAGCAATGGCTTTCTTTCAACCTTATGAACTAGACCACATTTTGATTCCAGTGTAATGCTAGTAACTCCTTTACATGGTATACAGCACTTAAATCAATGATCCTGCTGATAAGGACAAAGTGCATTTCGCTGGAGTTGTTTATCAAATTTGTCTTGAGCTTGAGGGAACAAAAGCCAACCAAACTGACAAAAGTATATTCAAAACTAGTAGCAACAGAGGGACAATAGCTATGGATTGTGATTAATATTTATAATGCAGTATACTCTTGATATTTACTGGGGTTACAGGGACCAAGCTCTCTCGATATTGCATGGCATAAATGTGCTGTCTGCCTGATTTTTTTTTTTATAACTGCCAATGTTTATAGTTTAAATTTGGTGGACCAGTTGTCTAACAACAGAGAGATTATTACATAACATTACTTTCAATCCAGAGCATTGATGACCATGCATAATTTGTTCTGCTTTTATTTTGCCACTTGATGAAAATGATGTCACAGTTTTCACAGTAATTGGTCATCACCTGAGCCCTCAGCAACTTTGATGTTATTTTCAGTCAACAGCATGTGGCAAAATTGCCGCACCCGAGATGTATGAATACGGGTGAATTTTGCTGCTTAATTCATATTCCGCAAACGAAATGTTAATCCGAATACCGTGTTTAGAAGAGTGGGGCTGCATAGAACATATTCTTGTAAAGAAAATGTTTTGACTTGACTTGCCCAAGGAAGGCCTATATGTTGTAAATGGAAAGGCATTTTATTACTTACTGTCAGAGGTTTTGAAAATGTTTTTGAATTCTTTGGATGTAAGATTCAGCTCCATACTTTGAAGGCTGGAGCCCTCCGCTTCACATGCACAGCAGGTAACATTCCAGGAGTCGGACAGTGCCTTACAGCCGATTAAATAATGTTAGTTTTGTCAGAAGTGTTTTATTTTTATTTTTCAGAGAGAGAAAGAGAATCGCTTCCAGGGATTTGAGGACAGATTTGCAGTGAAGCAAGAACAAGTTTGCCTCAGGGCAATAACAGAGATTAGTCGTGTAATCTTAATACTTGGTGTCTGCAGACTGGTGGAAAACTGCAAGAAACAAATTCCCACAGAGGTGAAACATAGAAATTGCAGTGAGAGCCTCCGGTTGATCCAAAATTGTTTTTCCATCATGTAACATTACACAGGAACTGTTAGATTATAAAGCATGTCCTTCAATGTAGAATGTTGACTTTATTGAACCATGACTTAACTTTATGAGTTCTGTAAAACGAATGTATCTGTGAATAAATGAAAACAATTTAAATGCAATTAATATTTGATATGCAGCACATTTGAACAGTGGTTTGCTTCAGGCTTCCGTTGTGGAATTCACACCTTCTCTCTTGACTTGCATGGCCTTTGTCTGGCTTTTCTCCCGCATTCCAGAAACTGTTTGTTTGGTTAATTGAAGACTCTCAAATGTCCATTCACCAGTTTTTATCCATCTCAGGGGCCGGCAAAGGCTAAAGGATGAGGGCTGTTGAAGACACACTGAACTTGTTTGACTATGTGTGTGTATGTGAGTGAAAATTATGTACATGTGTGCAATCATTACAAAAACACCAAGTTGCAGCTGGTGTTGACAGTTCCGTCCACGTCCGACCTTGCTCCTGTTTAGTCTTAATACTTATCTCTTCCCAACCACTTCCTCGGAAAGGTGGTTGCGTCCCTCAACTGCCACACAGTGCACGAAGCATTCTTGATTATAAAGGTGAATATATAATGATTAAAAGCATTATATCTTTATTAAAAGCGTAAGGGGCATTGCAGGCATAATCAAGTTATCATTGCAGGCATAAGCGTTCTTCTTTGCGAGCATCATCAATCTATTATTAATAATAAGCAACTGTATGATAACTAAAAACAATCAACCTAACACTCTGCTACTCAGTGACAGTACAACTGGAGATTCGTTGCTTCGGTGTTACCTCTGCTTTGCATTGATATTAAAGTGGCCTGCTAGTAAATATTGTCATTCATCGAAGTAATTTCATTCTCAGGGCACTGAATCCACCGCAATTGGACTCTTCTGGTTGTCTCAGAAGACTCTCATTTGAGCAGGCTTCATCCGTTCACGCAACAAGGCTTGGTTAGGACTGTTCCATCCGCACCTGTATTAAAGGGGTCACAGATTACGAGTAAGACTTAAGGAAACATACACAAAGCAATTACTGACAGCAATCATATGTGTTTTACTTCATTTTAATGTCAATAAACGATTGAATGTACTATTGGGAACAGGAACCCACACTTATGTCCAATGGATGACCTGCACCGCTCTTGGTATGCCTCTTTAAGTTAAATACAGTGTATTTATCCCTTTCAGGGACAGCGGTTACTACAGTGGACAGTTTACCATGTTATCAGGTTACAGGGTGCATGAAAGGGTTAAAACAACAACAACAACAACAACAAAGGTGAACAATTGGGCAGTCAGGTTTAATTCTGTTGAGGGGCTAAATTTAGCTTCTAATTCTAACTACTAATGAGGATATATTGTAATACAGTAATCCCTCACTATAACGCGGTTCACCTTCCGCAGCTTCGCTGTTTCACTGATTTTTTTAGTGCAGTTCTTTTAATGCTTTTTTTTTTAAAAAGTGAATTGTGTTCTGCATCCTGATTGGCTAAGGGACTGGCCAATGTGTGTCTCCGCAACTTGTCTCTGTACAGCTTGGCAAATTTACCTTTGCAAATTTTTGGCCTTTGGTTTCATTGTATCAGTGGCAGATGCTGGTCTGTCAAGGAGGGGAAGCTCAATTTTGGCCTACATCATAAAATGTTCCCGTTTATTTATACGTGAATTCTACTCTCCGTTTCTTTGCAAAAAAATCCAAAGGATGACTTCACCATAAGATCATTTCACTGTCAATCATAAAGAGATTCAGCCTCAGACAGATCATCCAATCATCATGCAGAAAAGCTGAGCGTTCGAACCTTAATTGTGTACCAACCTTCGGCGGGCCGGATTAAAAAGACCAACAGGCCGGATCCGGCCCGCGGGCCGTAGTTTGCCCATACCTGCTCTAGACGCCCAGCGTCCGCGGCGTCAACGTTCAGTAATGCATTGGGACAACCTACAATGAACTCTCTAGACGCCCAGCGTCCGCGGGGTCACCGTTCAGCGTCCACATACTTTAAAGCACAGTGAAGCTGCGGGAATGAATGAGAAGAGAGTCACGTCGTAACCAGTAATAAGAAGCTGATTCGGAACAAAAGTTGAGGGCGTATTTAGTCAATGACATGTCCACACAATTGTACCTCCAGACATATAATTTGATCACTTTTTGACATTTTAGGGGAAGCTGAGCTTCCCTTGCAGTCATGGAGCAATCGCCTCTGCATTGTATACATAGTTCAGCATTGTATAATAACTGTATAAGCTGACGATCAAGTATCAAGTACAAGTTTATTGTCAAATGTGCTGTATGTTTCACATACAGCACATGTGAAATTTCTTCCCTCTCACATTTTTTTGCTTTTTTTTTTTTTTTTTTTTTTTTTTTTTTTATTCAAACAATCCTTTCCCCTATTTATTCTTTTTTTTTTTTTTTTTTTTTTAATAAAACCTACTTCACGGATTTCACTTATCACGGGTTCTTTTGGAACGAAAATCCCGCGATAAACGAGGGATTACTGCAATGAATCACTGAAGTTTTAGAAGACAGAGCTGCACATGCACAGATTGATCATTTTGTTCAATTACAGAGATAGTGATGGCATAAGTCCAAACACACTGCTAAATACCTTTGACATGTGTAGACAATTCAGTTGAACAGAATAATATTCAGTGTTGACAGTTAGGAATATTGTCAGTATCAAATAGATATGTTGAGTTCTTTCTGAGCACAGATCTGGAGTATGATCCCAAATGAGGACACTTTATCTTGGTAATTATTTTATGTGCACATTTTTTTATTTATAAGTTAGCTAATTAATTCTTGTTTTTGTTTGTTTGTTATATCTTTTAATTTCCTAGTAGCTCTAGGGATAGTATTTCAAATTAAGATGCAAAGTATAATAAATTAGAATAAAATAGTGTTCATTTCCTTACCGAAAATGAAGCAAAAATACTTTTGTCATCGCAAAATTTTCACCGGACAAAAACTAGACCAGACGAGACCAAACGAGACCAAAACCTCCCTTAATAAATGATGACTGGGACTAAGTCGGGATGCATTTTCGTGGACGAGTGAAGACGAGACAGAGACGGAGTTGATTAAATCAAGACTGGCCTAAAACCTATGGACAAGGTCGTCCACGGCGTCGACTTGGGTTTTCTCGACCAAGTTCTCGTGCAATTCACGGCAAAGTTAATCTATGCGGTGAGTTGCCAACCGCATGCCTCACACCTTCCACAATGTTGTATGGGTAATTATTTTGTGTTAACAGCAATGACATAACAATCTCACAATTAAACTAGGGGAGGATAAGCAGAGTAGAAGATGGATACAATGAAAGAATAAATGTGTAGATAATTAATTTGTTTGGAATAATTAGTTTCTGCCTTGGGTTGGTTTTCCACAGTAGGGTGAGGTCCTGGCATATTGTCAGTCTAAGTGTTAAGCACAGTGTTTCAAAGTGAATTATTGAGGTCTGGGTGCCTTGGAATGTTCTGTATGCATGCTACATTCAGGTCTTTGCATGTCAAACCCACCTGCAACACAACACCTACTCCGGAATGATATGTAGAATGTGTTTTTTTTCTTTTGTAACAGTATTTGCTGCAACCTGCTTCTATGCGGCATCTTCATGCATATGTGTGTTGGCATGATATTGTTTTCCAAAAGAAAGATAGAACCTGTTTTGCGGTTGGGGAACTCGTGAAAGCCAAGGAGGGGTGGAGCCCAGACAAAGCCACAAAACTTGTTTATATCTGTGGTTGTCTCTGTCACATACAAATGCAAAGAACCCAAAATGGAGCAACAGCTTCTTTTGATCCGCCGTTTGTGATTTCCATATAGAAAAATAAATGCAGTATAAAGTATACATTAGGTTGTCCCACCTATGATTTGATGTACATTGCTGGAGTGTAGTGAACTGAGTTACACAACAGGAAGCTCCGACACGGAACAAGACGCAAAGAAGTCTGCTGTATGAGCCCACGGAGGTCATAACAAAGCAAAGGCTGGTTTCTGTCTCCACCTCCACATCTCAAGTATATAAATATCAAGACAGACGATTTTGTCTCAAGCCAGACGATTTTGAGACAGCAAAGGAAGTCTATCTTAACAAGTCATTTCTCCAGAGGTAATTTGTGTTCGCTGCTATTTGACAGGCAAGTGTCATACTCTCATCACCAGATTACGACGAACACACTGACTCTATCCCTTTTTCCTTCTTCAATATTGTTGTGATGTATAAAAATGGCAGCGTGGTTTGGTTTTTAACTATTTCCTTTTTTTTCAGCCTTGTAACATCAAACAGCAATGGCAGGTGAGTGAGTGCGCTCTTCTTTCAGGAATAATTCCAGCAGCCATGCCAGCGAGTGAGTGCGCTCTTCTTTCAGGAATAATTCCAGCGGCCATGCCAGCCTGTTTTCTCATCACAAAGATCATTTATAATTTGATCGGCAGATGCAAGCTTTCAACAGGAGTTCCTGGAATCTCACAACACCTACAGAGCTCAGCACAATACACCGCCTCTGACTCTTAACAGCGAGCTTAATGCGGCGGCTCAGAGATGGGCGGATCGCTTGCTGGCTTTGGGTGTTATACGGCACAGCGGCAGCAGTGATGGAGAGAATATTTATTACATGTGGAGTTCGGCACCCATTAAACTAACAGGTGTGTTTCCCTTCTCAAAACAAGTGTTACTCAAGATTTTAGCCCGTGTTGTTCTTTTACTTCATGTGACTCGATGCAAATGTTCATGGGTCAGTTGTTTGATTTTACTTGTTTCCCAGTCTTACGTGCACATCGTTTGCATGGAATTGTCATGAGATAACGTTTGTTTTGTCTAGGGAAAGAAGCGGTCGATTCGTGGTATGATGAAGTCAAGCATTACAACTGGAGCTACCCAGGATTTAGTGGCAACACAGGTAAAACAACACCAATTGAGCTCAGATATTGCTTCAACAAAAATCCATAAGGAGCCAAAAGTAAACATTATGGGCCCTCTTTTGGTTAGTCTGTGCGCTCAGCAGAAAAACGGGCGCATATTCATTCTGGTAGCGGGGCAAGTTCAATCTTGCATGTTTGGGACCCTGTGGCACCTCTTTGGTTTTGTCTTGATGCACCTGACAATTTGGTCACAGAAAGTAGACTTTGTTTGGAGTAAAAATGGCCGCATCTCTATTTTCGTTCTGGCACAAGTCTAGTTTACCGTTTCTGTGAATTTAGTCGACGCGCTATTCATCGCTGGGCGTTCCGGGTGAATTTGGTGACAAAAAGTCCACAGACCCCAATGAGTCTCTCTGTGCGCTCCGACCGCCGTGATTTTAATGCAAATGAGGGATGCCAGCACGATTGGCCAGACAAAGGATACATTCCCGGCCATAAGGGCGCCCCGTTATGCCCAATTCTACCTTTGCCAAGTCTAGCAAAATATGTACCCCATGAAATCAAATTCCACTTATGTGCTTTGCACTAGAGTTGCGCTGGGAACGAAAATAGCGCCCAATGTTGTCTTTGTGCATAGATACGTACCTCAAGACTCAATGACCTACAACCTAATGAGGTCCATTGCAACAATGTTAGGCTCATACTGAAGTATTACTTTAAAAATATTATATTTATTGTGATTATTTTTGTTTCCTTGGGTTAGATGAGAGGAGCATGTAGGATGCAGTGTATTTGTGTGTGTGTGTGTGTGTGTGTGTGTGTGTGTGTGTGTGTGTGTGTGTGTGTGTGTGTGTGTGTGTGTGTGTGTGTGAGAACA